AGAGCGTGTGTTTGCGCAGTGTGAGGTGTAGACAAAGCGTTAGGAAAAAAACGCGGGTTCGACCTACAAATAGGAAGCTCTTAGCTCGCGATTTTTCTGTTGCTGTTGTTGTTTATCTTGTTGTTAAGAATGACACGGACGAGGACGAATATTCATTGAAAAAACAAAAAGCGAATGATAGCAAAGAACAACAACAGGGGAAACATGGCACCTGTAGAGTGCAAGGAGGTTTTCACGTTCTTTGTCTCTGACATTTGCCTTGAACATAATGCTACCATTAGAAAATACAAAATGGCCACCTCCGTCCCCGTCCCCTTCGCTGACCTCGGCAAGTCTGCCAACGACTTGCTCGGAAAGGATTTCCCCGTCGGTCACACCAAGCTCGAGCTCAAGACCGTTGCTCCTAACGGTGTTGTAAGTGTCTTTACATATACGCTGGGAATGATACTAAGAGAATGTCACTTTTATTCTTTTTGCTATTGACAGTATGAAAAGAATGATGACTGACCTATTTTTCGTCTTTTTTTTTTCAATATTTTCTTTTTACGCTTTGTCGTTCCCTTTCTGTGGATGGCGACATTTTCTTGATGATTTTCGTGTTCCGTCAATGGCCGTTCCACTCACCTCACCTTGTCTCTGTTTCTTTGCTTGAATTCTCACGGGGGGCGTGGAATACATTCACACACTCACATCATGCTTCTAAATCGGAACGGGATAATCCGTTACGAAAAAATATCAACACCAACATCAACATCAACAAAATAACACATCGCAACCACATCGCGTTCTTACAAACAGACCTTCAACGTCCTCGGTAACAAGGACAACAAGTCTGGCCACATCAACGGTGAGCTCAAGACCAAGTATGTTGACTTCAAGAACGGTTTGACCGTCACTGAGGCCTGGACCACCGGCAACCTCCTCACCACCCAGATTGAGCTTGAGAACAAGGTCGCCAAGGGTTTGAAGTTGGACATTACCGGAGGCTTCCTCCCCTCTGAGGGCAAGAAGAACGCCAAGGTTGGTGTCCAGTACAAGAAGCTCGGCTTCAACTCGCGCGCTTACCTCGATCTCTTCAAGGGCCCCACCTTCACTGGTGATGTCGTTGTCAGCCGTGATGGTTTCTTGTTTGGAGGAGATGTTGCTTACGATGTTGGCGGAGCTTACATCACCCGCTTCGCTGCTGCCGCTGGTTACACTCACCCCGAGTACTCGGTTGCCGTCCATGCCCACAACTCGTTCAAGGTCTTTTCTGCCTCTTACTACCACCGCATCACTGCCGATCTTGAGGCTGGTGCCAAGGCTGTTTGGGACTCCAAGGCTGCTGCTCCCGCTGCTGAGAAGAGCCACAAGGCCCCCGTTGCCCTCGAGGTCGGTGCCAAGTACTACCTCGACCGTGATGCCTTTGTCAAGGCTAAGGTCAACAACGCCGGTGTCCTCGGTCTCGGATACACCCAGGCCCTCCGCAAGGGCGTCAAGGTCTCCCTCGCCGGTCTCTTTGACACCACCAAGCTCGACCAGCCCGCTCACAAGCTCGGTCTCTCCTTTGTCTTTGAGGCATAAAATGTCTCGTCAAACACACTCTGCAATAGTTACACTTTTCTTTTTCTTTTTTTTTTCTCCTTCCTCAATGTGATATAAAAAAACCCCAACTCTGTTTTTTACAAAAAATTGGCAAGGAAATAAGGATAATGGTACCCCTGTTTGGAAATAACAACCACAACCTTGTTTTGGTTTTTTTTTGGACAAAGAAAAAAAAAACATGGACACACCTCCTTTTTTTTCACGTTCAAACACAACAAAAGCACAAGCAATGAAGGACAACAGACTGGCACACCATGTCATTGCAGCCGAAGGACGACCGTACGTGAGCTCAGCATCATGAAGGAGAAGGGTTATTGTCAAGCAGACGAAAAGAGATGCTTCTCAATGGAACGAGCTGGAGAGAGGAATGCCGAATAGAGTTTTTTTTTAATGTTCTCACGGTCACCAAAAGGGTTTTCCATGTGCTTGCATCTCAGAAAGTTGATCATGCACAAGGGAGTTTTTGGGTCAAGACTGTCGCGAGAAAATAGGCGAAGACAGACTGCATTATGGAATAACAGACAAAAGAAGTGACGCAGATACACGGAAAGAAGAAGGTTGGGGCTTTTGACGCTTTTTCACTTTATTGCTTGTATTGACACTTGTTCTATTCATTTTTTGGATTCATAGTCCATGGTACAGAAGCGATGGTCAAAACTGCGATTGCTATATTGTCGGTATTGCAGGTAAAGAAAGAGAAGGAAAAAACGCTGTTGACCTGTATGTATTGTAAGAAAAATGAATGCCTAATGGCACATGAAAACAATGAAACCTAAATTGTATTTTACAAAAAAAAAAAAAAACACTAGGTGGAAGCGCCAGTGGAAAGACCAGTGTTGCACAGCGGATCATCAAAAACTTGAATGTGCCATGGGTTGTGTTGTTGTCCATGGACTCGTTTTACAAGGATTTGACACCTGAAGAAGTTGCGATCGCGAAAAGAAAGTAAGGGTTATTTTCCTGTTTTTTCCCTCATTGAGTGGTAGAGTATGATGGGAGGATAACGGCACTATTTCTGAACAGCAAAAAAACACAAAAAGAGTAGCAAGCAACCCTTTCTCTCGTTTCTTACCTATGCCTCTCTTCATCCCACGATATTCATATGTCTACTTTAGCGATTGGGACTTTGATTCACCCAACTCGTATGATTACGATCTGTTGCTGGAGACGATCGTCAAGTTGAAGCAAGGCAGGAGAGTGGATGTCCCTATTTATGACTTTGAGACTCACAAGAGGTATAAACACGCGCAGAGTTTTATAACAATGCAGCACAAGGACCATAATGAGAAAACTAGAGATACTAACAAGGATGAGCCATGTCTCGACACTCAAACGGAAAAATAGAGTCCCTAACAAGCATACCACTATTTATGGAGCAAACGTCATTATCTTTGAAGGAATCTTTGGTCTCTACGACAAGAAAGTGCTGGAGATGATGGCAAGTGTTTCTACAAACCACAAGAGATCGAATACGAAGGCTACGGACATGAAAACAACTGAGGCTGATCCGCGAATATGTTCCTCGCATTTTCTCCTTTTTAGGATCTTAAAGTCTTTGTCGATACGGACACTGATATCTGTCTGGCCAGGAGAAGTAAGTTTCGACATGTGGCGTGTATCAATTGCTCTATGGAGGCATGGGTGATATAATATAGGCATTGACATGAACATTTGATGGGTTCTAGTTAAGCGAGATGTCGCTGAGAGAGGATTCGACGTTGCAGGAGTTCTCAAGCTGTACCAGCGATTCGTCAAGCCTTCGTATGACAATTATGTCTACCCAACCAAGCAGAACGCTGATGTGGTAAGTTTGCTCCGCCATAGGCCTTTTTTTCATTCTCTTGGTTCCTTTTTAGAAACTGTTTACGAACATGGCTCTTCTTGCCATCTTTTTTTCTTTTGATAGGTGATTCCTCGTGGTCTGGAAAACTTGGTTGCGATCGACCTGTTGACAAAACATATTCAACGTCAGCTTCAGGAGAGAAAGATGCAGTCACGTTGGGACATGGCCAGGATAAGCGTGCCTGGCGAGCTTCCTCCAAACGTTATTGTTCTGGAAAAGTCCAAGCAACTTATGGCAAGTATGGCTTTTCTTACATTTTGGACAATGCATACCTCAGGAACTCACTGTAATCGTTAATACTTCTCATGTATCAACTTTCAATATCATCTTGTAGGGATTGCACACCATTATCCGCGATATCAACACATCTCGCCATGATTTTATTTTTTACGCAGATCGTCTGGCTACCCTAGTTATCGAAAGGTACATAAGTGGCATCATTTGCTCTTCAACGACATGGAAAAGCATAAAACATCCCGCATTTATAGTCTAACACACATGTCATCGAAAAATAGGGCGCTGGATGAATTGCCTTATGAGAAGCGTACAGTAGTAACCCCAACAGGCAAGACGGTCCATGGTCAGGGTCAGGCAGTCAACATTGGCGGCGTATCGATTTTGCGTGCAGGTGGAACGATGGAGATTGGTTTGCGCCGCGTGATCCGTGATGCGGTCATTGGAAAGATCCTCATCCAGACGGACGCAACAAATGGCGAGCCTCAATTGCACTACTGCAAGCTCCCACCCTCTCTCCAGGCGGCCAACACATACATTTTCCTGATGGATGCGGTTGTGGGCACAGGTGCCGCAGGTTTGATGGCGATCCGTGTATTGCTTGATCACGATGTCCCAGAGGATCGCATTATCTTTTTGAGCTTCTTGGCATGCCCACAGGGACTTCACACGATTTCAAAGGCGTTCCCGCGGGTCAAGATTGTTACTTCGTATATCGACAGTATCCTCAATGCGCAGACATTGTATCTCGAGCCAGGTCTCGGGAACTTTGGAGATCGTTATTTTGGTACCGAGCATTGAGTCAGATGTCAGAATGTAGTTCAGAGGTTATCATGTCCACCTGAGGCATAATTTTTAGTCGCACCCATGCTACAGTTCAGATCTTGCACTGGATAAGCAATACAGTTGAGATCGCTTAAGTTAATTATTATAATTTTATGATTTTGCTATCATCTTGGGGGATTATCAGAAGGCTTTTGAGACCAAGAAAAGAAAAAGAAAAAATATTGATGTGTAGAAATGTTCAAGGCGTTATGCGCTTCAAGTATGGTGGAGCACATGATGGCTTTGGCTTTTGTTAACTTCAATTGTAGGTAGGCATGGAGAATGAGAATGAATACAAAAAAAAAGTTGACGGGAGAAGGAGGGATTCGAACCCACGATTGCATATGCAAACTGTGCTAAAATTCTTAAATTATCGGGTGCACAGCGCCTTGGACCACTCGGCCACTTCTCCTCTTCTTTTTGCTTGAAGTTTTCTTTTTTTCTTGAACGTTATTCTTGAGCTTTGGAGGCGAAGCAAGATGGAATCGGGGGCGGCGATCTTGAAAACGATTCTGGAAGGCTCTTCATTCAGGAAACATTAAATTCCTTCATATCCAAAAACCTTAATTAATTCATTCAAAATCATTATTCCCAACCTCATTTGAAAGCCAAAGTTTATTTTTTTTCTTCTCCACATCCCCCATGTCAAAAAGCAAAA